GGCAAAAATAAATGAGTGGCTGAGAATGATTCCCCCATTCTCAACCTTTTTTTTTCTCAATTGAACCCTTATATATATATATATATATATATATATATATATATATATAAGAGGTAGGTTCCGTTGAGATTAAAAATAAAATAGAGATTTTGAGATTCAACCTCAGCCACATATTTCAAGTTTGCCGCTCTAACCCTCCGGTGTACCGGCGCAAGAGGTCTGTTATAATAATAAATGATTACATAGCATCGCTCGTTCATTTCTCCTCCGCCACCATCCCTACCACCAACCGCCACCGTCACCACTACTACCACCACATCTAACACCAGCCGGCCTTACCACTGTCACCTCCACCACTTATAACACTGTCACCTCTGTCACAACCACATTTTCTGCCACCAGCTGTTATAATCATATATAATTACACAGTCTATGAACAGACATATATTTATAATCATTTATGATTACGCATATACTGTTGCATGTTGGTACACTGAGCGTTAAAGCGGCAAATGAGAAATGTATGGCTCAGGTTGAATCTCAAGATCTCTACGTTTTTTTAATCTCAAGCGAACGTCCCCTATATTTAAATATGTTACACTCTATTAAATAAAAAATAAAATATCAAAAAAGAAAAGACACATATTTAAATCGGACCGCAATCATGATATTTTTTCTCCTGGTGTGCGCATTGCGCCTCTCGTTCCATTCCAACTTTATTTTCTCTTTCTGTCACCACTGAACAGTGAACAGCCACAATCTCCACTGCTACGCTTGCTTCCATTTATATGTACACATACATGTCTGCTTAGCTCTCTCTCTCTCTCTCTCTCTCTCAAACAAACACACATACTACTGTGCTCTACTGCTACAGCCCTAGATCTCATCCCTTCCGTTCGCTGCTGCATTGCATTTACTTCGATTCAACTTGCCATAGACTGATATACATCGCCATGGAAGTAGCTCGAGCTCTTTTGGTTGCTGTATCCATGGCGGTGGTGCTTCTGTTAGTGCAATGTGGCTTTTCGGCCCAAGCACATGTAATATACTCTTCCAGAATGATTCATCGGTTTTCTGATGAAATGAAAGCTCTTAGGGTTTCGAGGGAAGGACATACGGTGGAGGATTGGCCGGAGCAGGGAAGCTTGGGTTACCTCCACCGGCTTATTAAGAGAGATGTTGAAAGGCAGAAGATGAACGTTGGGTCTCAGCATCAACTCCTGTTTCCATCTGCCGGCAGCAAGACAATGTCCGGCGGAAATGAACTTGGATGGTTAATTCTCTTACTTTTTCATGTTAATCTATTGAGCTGCTTTTCTGTACACTAGCTGCTGATAGCTGGATCAATTAATACAGTTAGGATCATGAGGGTTCACTCCGTAAGAAACTTTTCTTTGTCTGTCGCTATCTGCTCGTCCGCTTGTAAGAATTATTACACAAGTGGATTCAAGATATATGTCTCAATCTATTTGTTTAACAAATAATTTCCTATTGGTTTGATAAAATTGCTTTTCCAAAAAGCGTTTCATTCTCTTTATGAGAATTGAATTTTGGGAATACAATAATACCAAACATGTAGGGTTAGCTTGAATTAGAAGTAGGTCAAGATCTTACAATAAATAAGATACTATAATTCCATGTCCCAGTCATTAAATCAGGGATATTATCAAGCCAATGGTCAAGAAAATCCATTTTGCCTAAAGAATTATACATTTTAGCAAAGTGATCACATTTTCCATGTGTGTGCCCTAATTCAATCGTACTGATAACGATGATATAGAGATCACTTGTGAAGCTTATTTCATCCGAATGTGCTCTTGTTTAATTCCTGTTATGACATCCTTCTGCCAGTTTTTTCTTGGCCATTTCCCCTGAGCTTGCATCTGTCACAGGTTGCATTATACTTGGATTGCTATAGGGATGCCTAGTGTTTCTTTCCTTGTTGCACTTGATACTGGAAGTGATCTTCTATGGCTTCCATGTGATTGTGTGCAGTGTGCTCCACTTTCAGTAAGATACTATGGTAGTCTGTAAACGACAAAACATGGCTACAGTTTAGCACTTATTCAAATTGATTGAATTGCAGGTGCTCCCTGGTATTTGGGGCATCTATTATGCAGGATTCAGATCAGAATGAATACAATCCGTCTCACTCAAACACAAGCAAAAGCATAACATGCAGCCATCAATTGTGTGAATTGGGTCCAACTTGCCAAAACCCTAAGCAGCCATGCCCTTACACTGTTAAGTATGCCTCTACAGATACTTCCAGTTCTGGATCACTCGTTGAAGACATTTTGCATCTTGCATCAGATGGTGTTAATGCATCTAACACCTATGTTAGGGCTCCAGTTATTATAGGGTATGTTCTTTGTTTCTTCTCCAACTTTCCCATCATATATAAATATGAAATATCTTTACCAATTCCAAAAGGGTTAAATGGAAGAAATAGCAATATACCATCAAGACTTAGTTTTGGTGGTTATTAAATGCAGATGTGGTAGGAGCCAAAGTGGTGGTTACTTGGACGGAATTGCCCCTGATGGTGTCCTTGGGCTTGGGCTTGGTGAAGTTTCAATTCCAACCCTCCTTGCCAAATCAGGAGTCACAAAAAATGCTTTCTCTTTATGTTTTGGTGAGGCAGGTTCTGGGAATATATATTTTGGGGATCAAGGTCCACCTACCCAAAAAACCACTCCATTTTTGCCCATTGATGGAAAATAGTAAGCCACTTTTTATCTTTTCTCTTTCAAATTTCAAAACTTATATCTGAATCAACTTAAATCCGTGGTGGAAGTTAGGGTTGTTTCTTTTTGATTTAATAAGCTTAATAGGTTAAGCACTTAATCAAGACAGTTATATATATTGCTTTTTCTGTTTGACTTTAAAGTTGATGAATTTTGTTAAAAAGATTATATATATGCAGCATTGCCTACATAATTGGAGTAGAGAAGGTCTGTATCAGTACTACATGTCTTGATGAAACAAACTTCATTGCTCAATTTGATAGTGGGACAACTTTCACATCCCTTCCAGATGATATATATAAAGCAGTTGTTAAAGAGGTAGGCTTTCAATAACTCAATTATAAAGTTCAGTTGGAGATTTTTAATTTTAGTTTGTGACTTTTTTGTTTTTATTTTTTTTATTTTTTTATACTCATAGTTTGACAAACAAGCAAATGCCACAAGAGTTGACTTTGAAGACCTACCCTTTGAATACTGTTACAAGTCCAGGTATTTTCTGAAGAAAGAATATTTTTTTTTGTTTTAATTTTGTATTCATTTTGTTTTTGGTGTTAAAATAGTTTGCAGGAGTTACCTGATACTCCATTGGTGACTATTAAGTTTGCAGTGAACAATAGCTTTGTGGTCCGTGATCCACTTTTTCTTATAAATGACAGTCAGGTTGGTATTCCAAAAAGATAATTGTTGATTACTTTTTTTATGGATGGAATGGAATCCATGATTCCATGATGTAATGGAATGAGTCAATGAGTCGTTACATTCCATGATCATGTTGGGTTGATGACCTCTAGGAATGTAATGGATTTACACATGTAGATACAAGATATAACATTAATCTATATTCTACACATTATTTTAAGACAAAATTACACAAATGGTCCTTGTGGTTGGTAGAAAATACCACTGCATGTCTTTTTTGAGGAATTTTTAACATGATTGGTCCTTTTCATGTTTAAAACGCACCCGATGGGTCGTTTTCTGCCAACCACAAGGACCATTTGTGTAATTTTGTCTTATTTTAATTATAGTTAATGAGCTTTTGTTTTCAAAAATAAAAAATTAAACATAATAAAAGCTTATGAAGCCCCAAATAAGTTGTAATAAAAAATATGTTTTACTAACATTTGTTTTGCAGGGAGGAGTTGCAGGGTTTTGTCTAGCTATACAATCATCGCCTTATGAAATGGGACTTATTGGACGTAAGCATTCTGAATTTCTTTTTCACTTAATACTAAAAAATGACTTAATAAAAAAAGTCTCGTTGCTTTTTTACAAATTTGCCCTCATTTCTTCATGTCGGTTTATATAATATTCTTTTTAAACATCATTTATTTTTATCCATCCAATTGCAGAGAACTTCATGCAAGGATATCGGTTGGCTTTTAATAGGGAGAATCTTACACTTGGGTGGTCACGTTCAAAATGTGAGTACTCCAAACTCCAAACTCCAAACTCCAACTACATTTTGAATTATAAATTATAAATTATAAATTATAAACAAACAGAATACTAAATATCTACAGAAAACAAACAAAATTACAATAATTTTGTATATTATTATTATACACGGAAAATATGTTTTACTTAATTAATCCTCAAGTAGATAGATTATTACATGAATATATCCATTTTGGGTCATCTTATTCTTAGGTCAACCTCTAAAAGACGAGAAAGCTTCCGGAAGCAATGCCAATGCCACGTCACCAATTTCACTGCCAACAACCGAACAACAAAGGACCCCAAACGCCCAGGCAGTTGCCCCTGCTGTTGCCGGAAGAACACCCTCGAAATCATCAGCCACCTTAATTCTCTCAAATTCATCATGTTTTTTATGGAATTTACTGCCTTTTCTTCTTTTACTACTATTTCATCAGTCACCCTCCCTTCACCTCTGTAAATACTAAACATCACACTCCTCCTTTTAGGTTTTTTTAGGAGTCTTATGTTGTTGTTAGATCAGTGGTGTTTCTGTGCAAGTGTGTGTGTGTGTCAATCATGGACTTTTGACTTGGTATGGCTCTTTTTGGACATGGGTATATTGTAATATGATGAGTAACTACTGGTTTATATAATCAAACCAATTATGGCTTCTCATTTACATACATGACATCCACATCCACATCCACATCCACATCATATGTACTCCATGAAATGCAACATTTTGCTTCCCAAAATGGCTTCTCATTTACATACTTGTATCTTCTCCAACTCTAAGTTAAAGCCAACAACTTGATTTAAATCAAGGTCCATGGTGTGCACAGAGGAATTCCTTATTTTCTGAGAATGAATTATGAAAAACCTAAATTTCACCTACAAGAACTTGTTGAAATAGGATTAAATGACAGGCATAGAGAATCCTTCAAACCTTGTAATTTAACTGATTTTTGGTGGAATGAGAGCACCAACCCTATCAATGAACTGTCAAATCGCTTAATACATGCCTTGAGCAATCGTTAGAATCTTGAAATCATGAATACGACTAACCTAATTGCCAAGATATGGACGGATGGAGAAAGAAGTGTATTACCCTAATTGCCAGTCGGGTCTAATGGTCTTTCCATTTGCTTTTCCCATTTTGATTTCACTCCTTTGGATTAGGTTGTAGGTATGAGTAAGTTGATTTTATAAAAGGCTGAGTTAGGTTGGAGTTGGGTGATTACATAAATGCTTGATTTAGGTTAGAGTTGGGTGGTTCATAAATGAGAGTCGCCATTTTACCTATAAAAGGTCATGGTTTGGTTAGTGTTATCGCACACTCACACTCAAAAAAGAGTTCTTAAAGTAATGGTTGCAGTCCCAAACGATGTTGTAGTTGTTTTGCCAAACCCTCAACATGCACGTGTTTGAAAAACTTTTTGAGTTGGTTGATGGGTCATAGAAAGTGCGTTGCAAAAATTATGGCGATTTGTGTGTGCCAAAGGGAATTTTAGGCTTCCACGTCATGAAGCTTTCTTGTCCGTGTTGTTAAATTAAATAAGTTCATGTTTAAGAATAGTATGCATTTGTAATTGTTTATATCTATCATTTTCTTTCTTCATTATCTATATCATTCATTGTATTTGTTGTTTATCTTTGGTCTTTGTTGTTTATGTTCGTTGTTTTCTTTATTATAACAAATGTGTGAATAAATGTGAAACTACTCTCTTAACCACATCTGTGTCGTTTAGTTTGATTTGCTAACATCTTCAAATGGTATGTTCAGATAAAAAATGCTAAACGCTGTGATTGACTGGACAAGAGCTACTTCCTTAGCTCCCGACATTTCCTGACTGTCTAATATTCGAAACTTGCAAGATTTGACTTTATTTGCAATTTTATTGAGATTTTTAGAGAGAATTAGGATTTGGGATGAGAAAAATGGTTGGGTATGAAAGAGTATTAATATGTTGGTATTTGGTAGGAAAAAAATGGTTTTTTAACGGATGAGAGAATAGACAAAGACGAAATGTGGTCGTTTCTAAATTGTAGCCGTTGGAAAAAGGAAAGAGGTAGTTTTTATTTATTTATTTATTAGCGGTAGCTGTCTAACTCTTAAAAGCATTTCAGTTGAGTTTTTGGAATGGTGGGGTAGGGGGTGGTGGGAGCTACATCCACTCTAACAACAAAGAGGGGAAGAATATTAAGGCTATAAAAGAAAATAATAATAATAATAATAATAATAAGCCCTTACACAAAAAGAATTAAGGCAAGCTAACCAACCATTGAAGCGACTCCATGTTTTTAGACCATTTTTGAATATTTTGGGGACACGTTCATGGAAAGACCGGTCATGTTTAGGACTGGCTAAGGTCCGATAAAAAACTGGAAATGAGGACTGTACCAAATCATTGGTATAGACTGACTAAGGACTTGTCGGACTAGGACCGATCTGCTCCCTATGCAAAAAAAAAAACGTGGACCAGGACTGATCCATTTGTGCACATTAGTTTTATCATTGGAGTTTTGAATGGACTGCTAAGATGGTTTTTACTTATAGACAAAAGATAAATATTGTTAGAACTTTTTACACATTATCTTAGGGTTGATAACATAAAAGACCCCACATATTAGATGTCTTTTCTGGATTAAACCTTGATTTTTTTTCCTAAATAAAGACTTTGCATCTTTTTTTTTTTTTTTTCGATTTGGCATATTTAAAAGGTTTACTAATATTTTTTTTCTAGATAAGTTTTTTTTCGAAAAACCCTCACATTTGACTATTTTTTCTTTTGGCTCACAATAATTATGTTTTTCTTTTTGCTGTTTATGGTGTTTTTGATAACCTTTGACATTAAAAACTTAGTGAAATGTTAGATTTTGGGTCTAAAAATATCAATAATAACTTGGATAATTCTAGAATCATGTTTTATATATACAATTTCCAAAATGTGTGATTTAGACCTTATGGTATCATAAAATCCAATTTAAGATAATCCAAGAGCAATCGATTTGGATTCAAGATTCTTCCAAATCCAAAACACATAACGGTTGTGGTGTGTTTTCAAAGAGACAATTTGCATGCAAAGAGAAGAACATGAATTCTAGTTATAAAACAAAAATCTTCAAATGTTGATCGTATATGTATTCAGAATGTTCATTTTTATTCCTTTTCACGAAATGAGGAAAACATAACTGATTTGATAAAAATTAGAAAAAGCGCAAAAGATGTATGAACATTTGTGAACCATTGATCCAATTCATATGAAGACATCCATAAATAAAAAGTTTGGGAAACTAAACCACAAGGGACTTGCACAATCTTACCTTTTACAAATTGTTTTGAAAACTAAAAACTATTACAACAATTCAAACAAGATTTGAACACATGAGGAGGACTAATGTTCCTCTGAATCACCCTTGCAATCATCTCTCAGTTCTCTAAGTATTGATAAGCTTGTTTCCTGCCATAATAAGTTCAAAACAAATATTTGTGAAGGGATTTCACTCAAAAATCAGAATTTTAGGACTACATAATACCAGAAAGCAATTTTAAATTGGCATATCTTGTACAAATTGCACTTTGAAATATCTACAAAGTTGTAGCAATATCATCCAAATACAAAACAATTTTCATTGCTATCAAACGATAGGTAGATTTTTTTTCATATTACAATTGCCTTAATAAGAAAATTTTTTTTTTGATAATACTATGTTGTAAATTGTAATATAAAGAAATAGAAGTAGGATGCTATAATACACAAATAAATGAAAGTATGTTGTTATTTCATGCATTTAGCCCTTCTTTATATTCTGCTATAAAAACTATTTATTTCCTTGGCAAAAAAGTAAATGTCAACAGATACAATTTCCATATTAATGGTGAAGTTCCTTTTTTTGGAAACTAACATGAACCTTTTACCCATATTAATAATTACATATTTGTGAAGGAAGTGACTATGATCCACAAGAGTGAAGCTTATTTTAGAAATTTAACTAACAATCAAATATATTTACCAAACTATCTGGCAAGTGAAATAAATGTATGAAGTCTTTTGATCCCATCAAGATTATTATGTACACAGTATTTGTTATTATTTTTTCTTTTATCGTATTCTACTTGTTCATTACAAAAAATGACTTAAAATACATATGTATAACACAAATTTTGATATGGGTATGAATCTTCATTACAAGAATGACATTAATGCGAAGATGGCTGTTTAGAATTTAGCTTATGCAGGTTGCATATTATGATGATTTTACATATTTGAAAACCTAACATGCATTAGATTGGTAGAATGTGAAGGAATCATAATATGTCATGTGTTTGGTTGGCAGGAAATGGAATCGGCTTTCTGTATTCATTTAATTATGTTCATATTTTAATCTTCTGCTTGGTTTTCTCATCTTTGCATCCATTGTTGCAGATACATATCCAGAAATATTAATTTTAGATTTGACTTCTTATATTCTAAATAAAGCAACATTTCATGGAATTTAAGAAGGTATACAACGAACTCAACTCTCTTCTTCCATTGAGTGTTGATGTTGCTTTTGTTTAGAATGTGAAGGAACAAGTGGTTGTCATCAACTTCTTGATTGGTTTGCGACCAGAATTTGACTCAATCATATTGCAGTTCTTGAATGAATCTGCCATTCCTTTACTTCAGGAAACATTTGCTTGTGTTCTCCAACAAATTTCTCTTACAATCTGTTATCAATCAGCAAAACTATTAAAGTGTTGTCTCATTCTTTCCTGATCATTGTGTCTTTCAAGATCTATCGATGAAGAAGAGTATTGCTAGAGGACGAGAATCCAATTCCCCAATACATATTCAAACGTCAAACACCTTACTCCTTAGCTTCCTCCACTTCATTTCCATGCGAAGCTCATTGTCGATTAGGTCATCCGTCTTTGAAAAATCTGAAAAAGTTGTGTCTTGAGTTTGCTAAACACAAATGCATTCATTTGAGTCCTAGAGTCAATAAGTGGGTTTCATCCTCATTTAAGTTATACCTTCTCCTTGTAAAGTGGAGTAGTGGACAATCAATGAGGTATTTTCCCTTAAATCTATTTCTTGTTTACAATTAGAAAGAAAGTTGCTTGAGATCACCTAGTTCTATTCATATCTACAAATGATGTTGACATCTTCATAAAACCTATAGCCATACCCAGATATATCCTTCTAAGATCCAATTTGGTGGTGATCATTCCCCATCCTTGGCTTAAGGGGGAATTAAGTTTGGTAAATGTGTGTATCATGCATAACATATACAGAGGGGTATATATAATACATATAGTTACAATCTAGTCCCTATGCTAATATTATCTTGTCTAATATCCCCCCGCGAGCTAATACCGGGTACGAACATTAAGTTTGGACCGTAACCCCTCAAATTGTTGTGAAGATAATGGTTTAGGTGGTGTTTGTTTTTTGTCTGCAGATATGCATGGCCTCTTCTGTGTGCGCCGCGCAGACCACGCGCAGACATTAGCCTTTGCAGACTGTTTGTTTTTTTTGAAGACTGCAGACCTAAAAATGTCTGCACGCCCTCTTCTTGGCGCAGATGTGGACCAGAGTCTTCTAACATCTTCTAGCCTAAAAAAACACATATATTTTTATTTTTTTTAAGTTTTTTTTTTAATTTATATTTTTTCCAACTTTATTAATGATAAACAATTTGAAAAAAAAATTATAAAACTTAAAAAAAAAAGTTCGACGATACAAACATAATAATTTTGACAAATTTATAAATAAATATTTATTACAATAATAGTCATAGAAGTTGTTTATATAAATATGAAAAAAAAAATCATAATATATATTCTTATATTTTTTTGCCAAATTTTGTAAA